TGACACAAGAATACACAGTAGCCCACATAATACCACATAATAATAAGTTTGAAGAACAGTAGTAATAAAAACAGCTTCCAGACCAGGAGGTTGATGTATTTCATACTTGGACCTTAGATCAAATGAAACAAAAATGATTTGTCCATATTCAGGCAAAAAAATAAATAAAATAACTCAAGACTGTTGAAAAGCACTTACAATACTCTATATAACTCTACTCAAAGCCAATGGAATTGCCTTTAAAGCCCTAAAGCAGGGGTAGGCAACCCAAAACACTTAAAGAGCCACTTGGACCTGTTTCCCACCAAAAACAAAACACTGGGAGCCGCCAAACCCTTTTGATATCTAAAATGAAGATAACACTGCATATATCCTTTTTTACCTTTATTATAGGTGTGTGTGTTTGTGTGTGGGGGGGTATTTGTGTGTGTGTATGTGTGTGTGTGTGTGTGTGTATATGTATATGTATGTATGTATGTATGTGTACACACACACACACACATACACACACAGGTTAAAAAAAGGATATATGCAGTGTTATCTTCATTTTAGATGTCAAGAGGGTCTCTCTCTCTCTCTCTGTCTCTCTCCCTCCCTCTCTATCTGCCCTTGGTCTACCACTCCTCTTCCCCCACTCTCTTTCTTTCTCTCTCTCTCTCTCCTCTCTCCCTCCCTCTCTCTCTTTCTCTCTCTCTCTTTCTCCCCCCCCCTCTCCTATCTGCTGCTCACCTGGCAAGCTTCAAGCTGTTGTCCAACAAGATCAGGGGTAGGCAACCTCGTCTCTTTTATGACTCATGGACTTCAACTCCCAGAATTCCTGAGTCAGCCTAGCTGGGCTAGCTAGCTCTCTCCTGCCCTTCCTGCTTCCTGCAGAGATGCAGCAAAGGGAGGAGTTCCGCCCAGTAAGCTTTTCAGCTCCTTGGAGAACATGTGAGTACACTCTCTTTTACACACACACACACACACACACACACACACACACACACACACACAGATTGAAGCAGGGAAGCGCAATTGCCTCTCTCTGTCTCTCTCTCTCTGCAAAGGCAGAGGAGGCTGGGAGCCACAGGGCAAGGTTCAAAGAGCCGCATGTGGCTCCGGAGCCGCAGGTTGCCCACCTGTGCCCTAAAGAGTTTCAGCTGGAAAAAAAATATCAGGCATTTGAGATTTATTTGAAACAGTTAATAAGACAAAGCTGACAAAACTGACAAAACTGATCCTATGTTTAAGTGAAAAGCCACCTTTGCATTTGTTCAAAGGAGTAAAAAGTCATTTTTACTTATTATGATAGTCAGGTGCTCTGCAAATACTCTCTAGCCATAATGAAGAACCTGCATGCACACAGGCAACCTTCTAAAAGAGTCCGTGGTTTATTGACTGTACATGTCTGTCTCTTCCATTGATGTAGCACCTCTGAGGCTCCGCTTCTGATAGACAAAGATCAATAAGCTCAGCATCTATTTGCTTAATTGGTCCAGGTAAATAAACATCCAACTGGGCAAGACCTCTTGGCAAATCAGTAGGTCCCAACTGTTATACAAATGAATGTCAAGTCTTGGCATTTCCAGTCAGATGAGTGTTCAAAAACAAAAGCTGAACTTTAGGAATAGCTACTAAAGAAGCTTTATACCAGGGAATGTCGATCTTAATAGGCCCAGGTGGATATTATATAATTTAATACTCCTGGAAATCTTATGTCAGGTTGTACAAGGTGGCCAAAATGAGATTTCTACATTCTCATACATTATCCTGCAAAAATTCTGACTCTGTCTCTCGCCCCTCAAATTATATTTAATCCTTGTTTAATGAATACATTGTTTAGTGACCATCCAGTTTAGAAGGTAATAAAAAAGTACTGAAAATGATTATTTCTTGTATTAGGAAAGCTGAAGTAAGACCATAAGCACAGTTGTGGTTTTGCTTAACAACGAGTTGCCAGTCCCCACTCAACCTGTATCTACCAATAAAGGAGAAAACCTCTGTGTCTCTCTCCTGATATTCCCAACAGTGATACAATTGTTATCCAGTTCTTCCATCCTCTTTTTAAAAGCAGATCTTGACAGCTATCCCCCAAAGGCTGTTTCCTTCCAACTGTTTCAGTCGAGAAGGATTTGGTTAGGAAGGAGACAGGAATGAAATGTAATGAAATCTCTAATAGTGCATTGCCACACCTCAAGGTTTTTAATGCAGGTTGGTCCCACTTGTTAGCTTTTACGATTATGTGCTGCCTTTAATTTTTTAAAGACAATTTGTAAAAGTAAGAGAGAAATATTCCAAATCAGTGGTGCACAATCTTTTGAGTGTTTATTGTGTGTAGCAGACAACTGATTCATTACAGCACAGGTCTAGTTTTATAGTGATCTCCAATTAGGTTTGCTGAAGTGAAAATTCTTTTGCACTCAAAAGAATTGGTGAATAAGTGGGGATAAAATTAATGCTTAGTAAAGGTTTGTAATTAAATGAACAATAATTTCTTAATATGTGCCATCACCCTAATCTTCCATTCTATCACCATTTCTTCAAAATCTTGATTGGGGGAAATATTGTATTTATTAGATCAACACAGAAATCAAAAAAGTATGCACATTTTCAAAATCTCCAGATTTCTTGGGAAAATGTTAAAAAGCAGATAGTTCTATTAGAAGTAGGCACACTTGAATTGATTTTAAGGTTACATAATGGCTATTTACTTCCTATCTTATTTTCTTGCTTATTAGGAAATTTTGTGGTATTATTTCAAGTTGTTGATTCTGGCTAGCTCAATTGCTGATAATTTACAGGATACAATAATGACCAGTTATGCTTTTCAAACATGTTCCAGATTTCATTTCAAACTCTGTACCAAACATGGCCTTTAGCCCCCTCTAGTGGGAAGAGAGTACAAGACTGAAACTCTGCCTTTTTTTTTTTTTTTTTACATGCAATACAATGCAAGGGGCTTTGGGAATTCTCCTCCACATTGCTATCTATGGCTCTCGGCAATTTTCCAATTCAACAGGATTACCATTTAATAGATATCTTCCTGAGCTAAATGTTACTCTTCCTCTATTTTGTCCTGCAATTCTCACCTGAGTAGGAAAATGAGGCCCATGGTCTCCCAATATGGCTTCCCCATGGCTATGACCAAACTGTTGCATACTAACCACCTACCATATTTACTTTCACAGTACATATGCAATGACCTTTTTGTACTGCTTGATATGAATATCATAGAAATTCCCCCATAGGAAATAATGTTCATTAGCATGCAGTACAATTTTCAGAAAAACATGAACCTTGATGGGGATATTTTACCAACTGCAGTTATGCTGAGGTAACCAGAAAATAGCAGTCTTTCTCCATGCACCGATATTCTATAATATCTCAGTATAATGTTTGTGAAGTTGGGTAATTTAATTTTATTTTTTTGTGTGAGTGTTGGTCCAGTGGAAAGTATTTTTGTGGTAGGAAGTCACTGATAGCAGGCTGAGGTTATATATGAGGAGAAGTCTAATCTGAGATCAACAAGCTGTAGTCCTTCAGATATTGCTGAATTACAGATCCATCGTCCTTAGCAGTGCATTTGGTAAAGACAGAAAATAGTCGGCAGAGAACTGATGTTGTATAATTTGGGCTCAATGTATTTATTCTAGAATTATGCTTAGAAACCTTCCCACAAATTTAATACACTAAGTAAAACTAAAACACAGAATTTAATATATGTAAAATATAAAGGAACATGCTTTAAAAAATAAGTAAATTATCGAAAGCATGTGTTTTAAACCTTTCCTCAATGTTTCTTTGCTGTTGAACACAAGCAGTATAATCATGGCAAAATAAATGAATATATCTGAAGGGGAGGAAACATTTTGCACATAACTGAAATGCTCCAGGCACTTGTCCAGTTACCACCTAAGCCACTGCTTTTCAATTTTGGCAACTTGAAAGTGTGTGGACTTCAACTCCCAACATTCCCGGACCAGAATGACGACTAGGGAATTCTGGAAGTTGAAGTTCACACACCTTCAAGTTGTCAAGATTGAGAAATATTGAGCTAAGCTAAAGGAAACTGAATTCAGCCTGAACAAGCTGAATACTCCCTACTGCATAAGATTTCTTAATCCCAATAAATGTCAAGATGTGGGGCTACAATTCCCAACACACACATCCAGTATGATCAATGGCCATGTTGGCCTCAAATGTTGAAGGCTGACTTCCAATAAATGTATTGAGTTTTAGGTTTAAAAAACCTAGCCTATAGTTCAGAAGGATATTGCTGCATTCACTATCACCATCTAACTGTTTTCCTGATACTGCAGCAGTGATAGTACTGAGTTAAGAAACACAGGTTCTGTAGAAGTTAGCTTCCCACATGGCTGTTACGTACTTTCAAATATGCTTTTAAGCAGGTGCCGGGAGACTTGTGATTATCAGTCTACAAGCCTATCACCTCAAAGACAGTTCAGAAGTATGTTCATTTCTTTTCTCTGGAAAAGGAAAGAATAGAATCTCTTGGCTGACTGAGCTTGCAGACAACCATCCTGAAGGGAAAAGTAAATATTGATAAGCAAAGCCTCTTCACATCTGCAGTCCTCTAAAGAAAATGATAGAAGAGGTGACCTGTAACTAGTTACTACTTATGAAGCCCTTCATGGCCCAGAACCAGGCTATCTGCTCAACTGCCTGCCCCCTCTTTTTTCTGACCACCCCACTGGGTCCAGTAGGGAGGCATGCTCTGGGTCCCTTCCCTCAAGCATTTTGTTGGACTCTGGACTCTGTCTAAGCCTGCTGTGAGATGGTCCACTCTGTAATAAGTAAGTAACTAAGTAAGTGAAGTAAGTAAGTGAAGTAAATGAAAGTATGTCTGCATGGCACAGTTAGTTTCTGAAGACAAAAAAAGAAAGAGAAAAATAAGAAGGGGAACATTTTTGAGGATAACTCCACAAATTTAACCATTGTTCCATCTCCTTAAACAGAAGCACAACTCCCCATAAAAATCAATACAACATGTTTTTCTGGCTCTGCTTTTATTAAATCATGATTGTAAACCTTTTAAAGAAATTATCTTTTATTTTGTATCTTTAAAAAAACAATGGACTTCCTATGAATTACATCAATGCAAACATTTTAACAAGAAAGCCATTTTTGTCTTAGATTCACATAGAACATTCAACACAAGGCTAATTAGACTAAACACTTCCTAAACAAAGTAGTCAGAGGCAAGTATTCTTTTTTAAAAATGCAACATTTTAAGTCTATGATTGATTACTAGAACATGCACATGTCACCCACACTGAGGTCTTGAATTCAATTTGGAGTTTTAACTCTGTAGAATCTATTGTGCTATGATGCAATTGAACGGCGATCAGTGGCAAACCCTATTGGCACTTTAGCTTTCTTTAGACATTAGGAAAAACGTGTGGATGATCTGAAAAAAGACTGGACCCAGGCTTGTCTTAACATGGTTATAATCCTATATGAAATTATGAATCCTTAGTGTTAGGATTCTGTATCCCATGGGGACAATAACTACATTGGGTTGTATGTGGTTCTGTACTCACTACCGGACCTTACTCATGAATGCAGGGAAGTGGTGGTATTCTTTTTCCCAACACATAAAAGGCTTTTGACTTTGAACATTCCTATTGGCATACTTGCAGCTCTGCTTGTAACATCAGAGGTTACGACACTATGATAAAACAGCTGGTGGAATAGCATAATCTAAATATCTTTGAGAGTTTCTCCCTTGAAATCAAGTGAAGTTTTAATCATAGTACTAACACAACTTAATAACATTTAGCATTCAACTGTAAATTGGACGCACCATTTACCTGGCTATAATCTACAAACAATGGCACTGAGAATAAAGCTTTGGTTTCTTTGTATATCTGCACAAGCAAACTCGATTCTTCTTTCCTTTCTAATGATTCTTACAAAATATCAGTTGGGGACAATCTTTGTTTCTTACTAACCTCCACATAAAACTGTGGAAAGTTAAGCATGTGTTCACTGTAGTCCATATAAAAGGGATTATACCTCTGTTGCGTCATTTGTTGAATTGACTGGATAATGAGTTGGTCAGAATTCCATCTTAATGGCAGAGAAATTTACAAAAAAAAAAAAACCTTGTTGCAGAGAAAATTGTAGCTTCAGAAGTAAGGCTGTAAGGATTCCTGTTTCCAAAACACTCTAGTCCAATGCTTAGCAAATTGGTTTCAATAAGACAAGGCAGGTGGGTGGGAAATGTATCGACATTAAAAGCATGCAAAGTTCACTTTCTTTCAAGAAAACACAACTAAGATACAAACAGGACAAACTTTTCCAGGCTTTAACAAAACTGGAGTGAAAAGAGTTACAAGATTTATGTACAACATATACCCTAATGTCAAGAATTCCTGGAGTTTTAAGAATAAAGCCACAATATAGTAAGAAAAAGCCTCAAGGCAATCCTAACTATTTTTACCTGGGGTAAATCCACTACATTCAGTGGACGTTATTCCGTGGTAAATATGTGTAGGATAGCAGCCTTGGTATAAGAAAGGAGAAGTGATTTCTGAAACAAAGAAAAAGGCAGTATCCACAGCAGGAACCAGCATCAAAAATTTCCAGTTTTTGTAAGTAGTTAAAACAGGTGCCAATGATTGATATATTTAAATCACACTTTGAACAGCATAAAGAAGTGCATTAAATGTTACTTCCTCAATCATTAGGGCATCTCAATCAAGCCACGCTAATATCCTGCTCCTTTACAGGAGTGAAGAAAATGCTAACCTCAGTTCAGGTGCTTGTAAGCATACAACATTCCTTGGAAGTCAAGGACAGCTTTGTGAAAAAGATGCAGTGGTTTGACAAAAATAAAATTACCTTGCACTACACCATTTTAAAAAACTAGCTGTAAAAGTCAGAGCATTTGGCCCTAGATGGGTGGATTCCAAAGCACCTGTTAAATCAGAGATTAAACTTATTAAAAACCACAAGAAGTCAAAGGTATCAGTTGAGCCCTGTCCCAACAGGTAACTCTGTAAGTGCCATGCTCTGTAAGAATCCTCAGATGCTCTGAAAATATCAAGAGACAATTTTGCATGCCGTTAACTTTTGTCTGACTGCAAGGGCAATAGCGATGGGGCATTTTCAATTGCCTTGGCAATCTTTTCTAGCCCTCCCACCTTGCACGCTTTCATTCTGCATATTCTTGGATCTATGTTACATTCTTGTCCCTGAAATATACTTCAGATGCTATCTGTCGCCTATCAAAAGAAAAGGACAAAGAAAGAAATCGAACAGTGGTGTTGAGGTGTTGCATAGTAGCAAAGTCTCTGGTAACAGGAGATCTTTTTGAATCTGTGAGTTCTGTAAGGACTATTTGCTTTTTTTGTGGCTCTACAGTGTTTGTGTGATTCTTCTTTTTTTTTTCCCCTGTCCACAAAAGTACCTGCTGTACTGTCATCTGCTTGTCATTGCAACCTGAGAATGTTTTATTTAAGAGGCACACAAGCTTCTAGCCCCTTTGCCCTCTTGTCCTAGCTGCTGCCTGTAGATGAGCACACTGAGCTACACATGTTTAGGTTGGAATGTTCAGATTCTGTTTCAGTCTCTGTTTCATCGGTGGTTTCAGGAGGAGAAAGGGACTCATTCATCTGATCCTGGCTCTTCTTCAACCTGCAAAGGCCAAGCAGTTATGTATGTGGTGAAAGTAAGTAGTCATGAAAGCATTGTTCTGAAGTACCAAGGTGGCGCAGCAGTTAGAGTGCAGTACTGCAGGCCACTTTAGCTGACTGTGTTCAGCAGGTCAGCAGTTCAAATCTCACCGGCTCAAGGTTGACTCAGCCTTCCATCCTTCCGGGGTAGGTAAAATGAGGACCCAGATTGTTGGGGGCAATGTAAATATATATATATATATATATACATTGCTTACTGGTGTACACCGCTTAGAGAGGGCTTGCACTTAAAGCGGTATATAAGTCTCATAAATAAATAAATAAATAATAAGTGAGACATTTAATGGAGATTAGAGTTCAGGAAGGCTTGTAGAACTGCATCGAAGGTGCCTTCTCCCTCCATTCCCCATACCCTCAAATGAAATAGGACAAGTGAGTGTTAAGAGACGGAACATCTAAATAACCTTCCTGTTATTGTGCAAAAATGTCTAAGAGGTTTATCTGGTGCCAACTTTATTACTCTTTTGTTATCACTTGAGATTTATCTGTTATCTTCTAATGAATGTATATCTTATATGCAATATTTCTCAACCTTGGCAGTTTGAAGTTCATATATTCTCAGATGTCCCAGATTATAACCTACATTCTCTATCACTCAGTGATCGGAAGGCTCTCTCCAACATTAGATATATGGTATGTTTTTGGTGTGATACATAAAAGAACTGAAAATATGAGAATTTTTCTCCATGATTTGTAATTGTAATTATTATCCAGCCAACCCAAACGTCTTTCCACCCCACCTCGCTTTTAAAAACAAGTTTCAGACTCACTTTTCTCTGTTAAAAATGACAAAGTCTTGCTGAATTGCTTCAAGACATTCCTGCAAGTAGTCATTTTCCTATAAAAAGAGAAATATTATTTGTACTTTCCTGTCTAAATTGCCATGAATTAAAAGCAGAAGTAAGTTTTTCACCTAAAAACAGTAGCAACATCATCATCTTTGAGTCACCCAGAATTGTGATCACTGTATGCTTTTATTTGTTTCCTGTTAGCTATTCTGGAACCTTATTTTGCTTAATTAATGGTCCAATATGATATAATTATATATATCAGGTGAGAAATTAGGCGATGAGTTAAAACCCATGGTCAGTTATAGTTCATTAAATAAAAGTAAACCAATCACCGATCCACCTACCCTATCTTTTTGTCAGGTGTAGGCAACCAGAATAGCTCCAAGATCTGGTCAAATAGCTTTATTGTTGATCTCCAGTTCATAAGAATCTCACCAAATTGTCTGCTTACCCTTAAATGGCAGTTTATATGTCACACATAAAAGAGATGGATATGCAGATGACCTACAGAGAGGTGACCTCTTAGGCACCATCTCCTTCAAAAGGAGTTTGGCCATCTTGTAAGCTCCACCATAGAGAGGATACTTCAGGAACTCCACTCCAAGAAGTAGAGAAGTTAGAAAGTAGGGCCAGGGTCAGGCTGTTCTATCCCAGCCTAGAGCCGTCCTTGTTAAAGGCACAAGGACCAAACCCCTGTTGATAAAATAGGTTGGAGACTTTAAAACAAAACAAACCCCTTTTAATATGGGTGACAAACCTGCCAAATAGTCCAAAACACAAACAGCAAAACTCAATCCAAATGAAGGAAATAGTCCACAGGAAACACGATGCAAACAGAAGAGTAGTCACAAGCAAGACGAACAGACCAGGATTCAAAGAAGTACTTTGCAAACGGTTGCCTTCAGCAACCAGCACCGTCCACACCTCTTCTTTTTATACAGCAGTCCCAAGGCGTTGCCTCTCAGTGCCTTCTCCTTTTACTCTGGAGTTGCCGTATTGACTGCTGCTGATTTACTCTCGCTAATTGATGACGTGTGCGTGCATCAATTAGCATGTCCATCAGGTATGAGTCCTCTGAGTCTGATTCATTCTCTTCACACAGCTGAGCTTCATCAGGAACACGACTGGAGGGCCCAGGCTCTGCATCAAACCGTGAGTCCTGTAATTCATCAGAGCCTCCCTCTGCCCCTGATGGCCCTCCAAATGCCTCCTCTACCTCCTCCTCAGATTCCTCAGACTCAGCTGTTGGGAGCACAGGCTGGCACGGAATCACAACACAGGCCTTCTTACGAACAACTTTAGGCAATCCACATGTTGTATTGTTTCAACAAGGTGGCTAAAATAGCATTATTCCGCTGGGCTGCTGGAGCTTAAGTGCTTTTGATTGTACAATGTTTTTCCCTGTTAAGGGGGCTTGTTCTAGTTGTACCGTTGGTTTTACAGGATATTTACTGGTGGTTTTATGGGACTGATTGTGGGGGAGGCCGATGTGAATGTTTTATGGATGTTTATTGTGAATTGCCCAATGTTGTTGTCTAACTGTGATTGAACATAAGCACTGTAATCAACCAGCCAATCCCAGGATATATTGCAGCTGCTTTATGAGGTTGCAAGCAGAGGCTACAATTGTGCTACTGCACGCTATGAAGCATTTTTTGAAATCAAATTCAATGCTCTGCACAGCTCTAGCACTCAACAGGGACAAACAGGACTGGTACAGCTCTCACCTGCTTTATTTTTTGCTTCACAAAATCGATTTCCAATTTAGCGGATTGAGGCTTCATTTCTTTTTAATGAAACAGCCGGACATAAATTTGGTAACTTATTTAGGAATATAGCAGTTGGGGTTATTTACTTTCAAAAAGTGAATTGCTGCTGTGGAAAAAGAAAAAGCCCTACATTCTCAAAAGCGTGTCAGACTTAACTGAAGCTAGATAACTGACAATATAACATCATTTTTTTTGTTAGCTTTCAGCTTGTGATGAATTTACTGGGACTGAATACACTCTCAACAACATCTATGGAAGGCTTTTTTACACCTCTTAATACTAAGAACAGGTGTTTTTTGAAAGGCATTAAAAGTGAGAATTCTAACTAGTTTTGACCTAATTCCAATTAGAATATGTTGCTTGGCAAACCTGGTCATTAGAAATCCATATGCCACTGCTTATATACACACTTTCTTCTTATCAACTTCTGCTAGATTTTGCTTACCTCTGATTTAAAAGAAATAACCTTTCTTTCTTTCTTTCTTTCTTTCTTTCCTTTCTTTCATCTATCTATCTATCTATCTATCTATCTATCTATCTATCTATCTATCTATCTATCTATCTATCTATCTATCTATCCTAAGTTTAAGTAATGTACTGACTCCCAACAATTGTTCCTCTAATTAACCATCATGGACATATCAGTCAGTTAATCAGACAGATTAACCATAATGAACAGATCAGTCAGTTTCTAGTATTTGTTGGGCTGCTTAGTTGCCCTCATTTCTGCTTTTAATCTGTTTTTGTTGTTAAGAAATGCAGATAAAATTTGCACTCGCTCTTCAAATATTTTTTCATAATGGTTGTTTAAATACATTGTTCTTAGATTAAATGCCTTGCATACTGTTGGTATTCAAGGAAAACAACAAGAAGAGCAACAATGATGTCACTTATAAGCAGTGGTTGGCAAGAGGTTGGTCCTTTGCCATAAGAAACCGTGTTCTCCAGCATGATTGGATGGAGAACCCACGGATGGGTTGTCTTAATCTATCTGCTCCAATTAGACTAAGTCTGAAATTTAGTACCGCCCCCGCTGTGCCAACTGCACTCCAGTTTTAGACTTAGTCTCTTTGCTCTAAGACATGTTTTTTCTTCGCTCCTGGAGCAGAAGACTCTGTGTTTTCCTTTTTTCTTATTCCTGTTAGCTTAGTTCTAATTCCTCATTTTTATTAATTGTGATTTGACAATATAATTTTTTTTCATTGATCGGAATTCATCCTCAGCCTGACTGCCCGGCCGGGCTGACAGGCTGGGCATCTGCAGACCCTTCCCTTCAAGGGAATAAAATAAAATAAATAAAATAAAATAACAGCCTTTCAAAGTAGCCCAGATAAGGACAACAGTGAGTACTGGCTCTGTCTTTATCGCAAGGTTACGTTAACAGAGCCTTGCTAGTTTGAAAGCTTTTGTCCCCTCCTTTCCAATAGTCTCCGAAAAACTAGGGAGGCCTCTTCTGAAACACTTGCCATTCCCCGACCCACATCCCACTTCTGAGGACCGAGATCTCTTTTGCATGATGGTTGTCAGGTCTGTGGCTCTTCCTCCTGTCTTCCAGGATTATTCCCACATCCCATTATAATAACAGAAGTTGAAATTCTAGCAACTTTAGTCTCACCTAATTGGAGGGACATAATGTAAGAGAGTATGAGGTGATTTAGATTGGTGCTGAAGAGGCAACGGGCATCTCTTCGTCAAAGCAAAGAAACAACTCAGTTTGCTTTAATGAAGCACACCTCACTGTTTTGAAGCTTCCCCGTGTCTGTTTTCCCTGGAGAAGACCAAAGCAAGAAGAGGTTTCTGTGCTGGTACAGGCAGTCCTCGAGTTAAACAATTCATTTAGTGACCTTTGAAGTTACATCACTGAAAAAAATGACTTATGACCGTTTTTCACACTTATGACCATTGCAGCATCCTCGTGGTCATGTGACCAAGATTTTGGAGGCTTGGCAACAGCTTCATATTTATGACGGTTGCGGTGTCCCCAAGAGCATGTGAAGACCTTTGGCGACCTTCTGACAAGCAAAGTCCATGGGGAAGCCAGATTCACTTAACAACTGCAATGATTCACTTTACAACTGTGGCAAGAAAAGTGGTAAAATGAGGCAAAAATCACTTAACAAATGTCTCACTTAGCAACATTTGGGGCTCAATCGTGATTGTAAATCGAGGACTGCCTGTATTGTAGTGACGTCAGAAAATAAAAATGAAGCAACGGGGCTCACTTATTTTCACTCTCAGAAGTGAAGGATCCCTGTTGCTTTGTGGAGCAAAGCAGAACCCTCTTTCAAGTTTGGACAGGAGCAGAGTGGAGTTTGCAGAGCCCCATCAGAGGCATTTGAAAGCAAAATGCCAGCTCCTACAATCAGAGGACATTCAACTATTTCATTTTACTTGGCGACTGCAAGTGAGCACTTACAGACTGTGAGCTGTCCTTGCTGTTGTCCCTGGATTTGTTCTTTGCGAGCCTCTTCTTTTTCTTGTGCAGGGGCCTTGACTCCAAAATCATCTCTTCCAGCTCAAAAGTGGGGTCGCAATGCAGACGACCTTTCTGTGAAAAATCAGAAAGAGAGTCTGCCGTGTGAATAGCAAACAGATAATGCGAGCAATATTCTGAGCCCAAATTTTTTGCCCATGGGGGGGGGAGAAATATAACCCCTGGCTTCATATTACTATCTGCTTCACAAGTAACAGAGACCAACAACAGAAGCAACGTACTCATCACTTTAACTCACGTTAGGAACGAAGCCAGGCTCTACTTTCTTTTCGCAAATTTCATCCCAGTCCACGTGAGATAAGAAGGAGGATGTCTGAATGTTGGCTAGACTAGAAAAACGATGCTCAGGATTCACTGTCAAAAGCTGAAAATGGGAATCAGAGAGGGGAAGCAAATTTATTTAGGGCAAAACTCAGCAGGTGGGGGGGAAAATCTGAGCTGTTTCTTCATTTTACAGGTAGTCCTGTAAAACCATTCATTTAGTGAACATCTGACTTTACAATAGCACAGAAAAACAAGTGACTGACGATCGTCCTCACACTTAAGACTGTCGCACCATCCCCACGGCCGTGGGATCAAAATCCGGGCACTTGGCAACCAGCAGGTATTTACAATGGCTGCAGTATCCTGGGGTCATGCGTGATCGCTGTTTGTGATCTTCCCACCTCAGATAAGCAAAACCAACGGGGAAAGCTAGATTTGCTTAACAATCATGTGATTCACTTAACAACTGCAGTGACCTGCTCAACTATAAAATCATAAAAAAGGTCACAAAATCAGATACAGCTTAGTTAACAACTGCCTCGCTTAGCAACAGAAATTCTGGTTCCAGTTGGGGTTGCAGACTGAAGATTCCCTGCACTTCTCCACATGGGCAGTGATGTCTATACAGTAAAGAGAAATCCACTTCCTTTTCTCAACAGTTACATATAATGTAATCTCTCATTTAATTTGTTTTGTTCCACAAAATAACCAAATGTGGTTAGTTGTATCCCCCATTTTTTTTAATGAAAGACACATTCAATTTTCTGCAGACTATCATTAACAAACTTATTTATGAGGGTGAAGGTTCGTTCTCTGAGCTTGTGGGTTGGTTTCCGAACGTTTTATTGCCGGACTGGGTAACATCTTCAGCAGAGTTTAGGGAGTGTCAGTGTCAGTGCTCATCTCAGCTGAAGATGTTACCTAGCCTGGTAACAAAACGTTTGGAAACCAACCATGAGCTCGGAGAACGAACCTTCACCCTCATCCTGCACCCAAGCTACAGATATTCACCTCTATTGCAAATTTATTTATCTCATGTTAGATGCCCAGGGATATTTGGATGCAGAGGTTTCTTCTGAGCAGTAAAATACAGCCCCTCGGACTGAACTACAGTCATAGGTCCTACAGTATTTGAGTCACTGTTTGACAAAGAACCTAAGGGAAGCACCAATTCTTCATTGCAATAGTTGGGGTGCCTTCCATCAAAATGGAATGGCTGCACACAATTAAATGGCCTTTCTTAAATTTAAATTTGGGGAAAAGGACAAGAACAAAGTCTCCTAGCTGCATCAATTCACAGATTCCATTTTTTCTGTGACTGGGAATAACATCACACTCCTTCTGTACTGATGCTTATCAAATTCAAATATGATGAAACTTCTCATTATCTCAACAATTCATTCTTCATTTGGGTTTTCCACAAATACTCATCTTCAGAATGTTTCCTTCCACTGCTTATTACTTTCCACAGACAATGTTCCTTTGGAGATTATCATCTTATATTAATCCAGCAGAGGGGGTATTCTTGTTGAGTAAATTGTTCATAACACAATCCTACTTTAAAATTACACATGCTGTCCATTTGAGATTTATATTGGAGCACTTGATTCTTGTCACTATTGTACATATGCATTTCCTTTCTTTTTAACAAGATACTCGTCTTTTAAAACCATTTAAAGGTTACAGGCATAAAAGGCACTTTACATTTTATTTTTCCCTCAGATATTGAAGAGGGCTGGCAAAGAATTTGAAGGAGCATTTTGTAACGGATTTGAGCTTTGCACACCATGTTGGCATGAAGGACTCTCCCCTCACTGAAATGATCAGTCTGTGATGTCCTCCATAAAGCTCATCACAAACATTTTGGGGCCTTCCTAGGCATGCACAAGCATCTTTCCACTGGACTGCGGATGAAGTGAGGGGACTGTGTAGGCAGGAAAAATCTGGGAAAACCCCAAAAACCAACTGGATGAGGAGAGAGGATTTCCTCATGCCAATATATTCTGCAAATCATTCCACTGCACAAAACTAGCATTCAGTACTCCATGGCCTCTATACATGCAGTTTCCAATGGGCTGAATTTGGATGCTCTAAGTACACTTGTTTCTCACGTTAATTTTTTAAAGCTTATTTGTACTTTTGCTAGCCTTCCCTCAAGCATGCTGATCACTTCCCCTTGCTTCTCAAAAGTCCTATGTTGGAGCCAGCCCTGGCAAAAATCACCTAGGTTGGCTGCTAGTGGAAATTATAAATATATCACACTATCAGGCATCCAGAGATTGACGCTTCAGTCTCAAGTGATACCAATCATTAGCACCATTAGCTAATGTTTCATACACAGGAGACACTTGCTTTTATAAAGAAGTCTGGCACATCCAGTTTGATACACAGACTACCCTTGATTATTCACAGTTTGAACTTTCATGGAGGGCTGTTACCATCCAAATACACTTTCAGCCTCCTACAGAAATTCCCCTTCAACATGGGAATGCCAGAGAAAGGAGAAATTGGATCGCGAAACACATTTCACACATTTTTGCCTTTTGAATGCCTATACGGGGGTATCACAATCTGAAAAGATAATATGAAAATAAGTCCTTATTAATCAAGCTACCAGAAAGTCCTACAACTCCGTGTAAGTTATTACTGGCAATTACAAGTATAGGCATTGCATACCTTTAACGATAAAATTACATGCTGCATTACATCTAAAGAAAATATATTTTCCTCTCTGACAATGCACACTTCTATCTGCCCAATAAAAATAGCAATAGCACTTAGACTTATATACCGCTTCACAGTGCTTTACAGCCTCTCTAAGCAGTTTGCAAATGTCAGCATATTGCCCCCAACAATCTGGCTCCTCATTTTACTGAACTTGTAATGATTGAAGGCTGAGTCAACTTTGAGCTGGTCATAATTGAACTCCTGGAGGTGAGCGTGAGTTAGCCTGCAATAGTGCATTCTAACTGCTGCGCCACCACAGCAGTGATGTGTATACAGAGCTGGAAAACATTTGAAGGACAGGAGACAGTATTTGTGGTGCAAAACACACTCCCCCCACTGTTCTGGGAACAATGAAGTAATGTGCTGAAGGCAACTGTTGCTACACAGACATATGTAGCATGTTGGCAAGTCAAAGGGAGCACATATTTTTGGATCAAAGCCCGCATTTGTGGAGTGATAATGAATCATTGAAATCCTTACTGAAGAAACAATGATTTTACCTTTCTTAATAATGCCACCATGTCTTTTGACCAAGCTGTTGTGTACTGAACACTCACAGTGCTGAACAGCTGAACTAATGATTCGACGGGACTATTGGAATGGATGTCATAAGGTCTCTGAGGGAAAAAAAAGACGAAAAAATGGATATACATGAGAATTCCACATTTATCTATCGTAACATCAAGCATTTAATTGATGCAGTTATTTAAACTGCTGTAATACTACTACTACTCCATTACTATCATCATCATCATCATCATGCTTTGGTCACCTTGCATTTCAACTATTACAAGGCATATGGGGCTGCCTTGAGACCCTTTGGAAGCTGCAGTTGGGTTCTGAATGCTGTGGAACAGGCATTTATGGGCATGCACACATATACGATGGCATCTTTGTTAAGCTGCACTGGTTGCCAGCAGCCTTCTGGATGTGATTCAAGATGCTGGTTATCACTTATAAAGCACAGGGCCTGGTTATCCAAAAGACCATCTGTCTCCCATGGTTACTCTCTGTCCCAGATGGTTGGACAGAATCCGCATGCTCCAGATTCACTGATTTAACAATGGTGCCTAAAGAGACCTGTCTGTCCTCTGGAATAACATCCATCTGTAATGTGTACAACCCTCACCTTAGCTTTATTTAAAGGAGTTCTTAACTCTTTCCCTAGGCTCTGGAATAGAGTGTGTCACCCTTTGTGTGATGATTGGTTTGTTCTGAGACTCCATCCCTTTTCTCAGATGTTTTGTTTTATTTTGTTTCATATTGTTTTGTCTCAAATTGTTTAATATCGTACTGCCAAGAACCATGAAGATAGATACACAGACAGACAGATAATAGAAAGATAAGAGACAGATAGATGCAAACTAGTTTAAGACAGCAAATCCAAGGTGGGCCATTTATGGCAGAGAGCATTTGATGTTAAGAACAGGTATTACCTCACATAAATTGTTGGTATCTGACAAACAAGGCCTGCTTAATTATAAATATGAATAATTGTGGTAGAAAAAAATGAACTCTAAAACCCCCTCCCACACTTTAATGTGGCAAAGCAATTTCCAAAATATTTTTAAAAATAAAGAATATGTCAGGCACCCATCCACGCAGAAGCTCATAGGCTATCACTCCCAGAGACCACCAATCAACTTCAAAGGAGTAGCCTGTTCCTCCATTCAGAAAGGAATGAAAGATCTCTGGAGCTGAAAAGAAAGACAAAGACATCATTTAATACTTCCATCATTGTTAGTTTTGGTAAAACTGCTGTTACCATTTTTGCATATTCCCTTAGATGTAAAACCAGGTATTATAACAAATTTAGTGGGGCTTAATGAACACAAGATCTTCTAAATTATAACTAGGTATGCTGGCTTAAGATGATACAAAAGAGAATCATATGTTGACCTCATATGTATAGGACCAAATATTGGGGACGACAATAAGCCAATTGAGGTTCAGATCTTAGGTAATAGTACATGTATAGTTATATAATGCAAAGATTAAGATCCCCCCTCCGTAGCTTGCATTTTTCTAGAATAAAGCGAGACTGCTTACAGCACTAAAAAGGTGGATGGACCATATGCTTAACCTTGGGAGATGTGATCTACAGCTGCCTTCTGCTATAAACAGCCAATATCAATGGTGGACGAAGAAGCAAAAGAGTTCAATTAACAAAGTAGAAAATTAAAGCATTCTTAAGCCTAACTAATCTCTTTATGAGAAGGAAAGATATACAGACATAAATTAGATGATTATTTTATGCTGAAGGCAAAATAAATGCATGAGGGATTATTATAAGCTAAATATTATTTTTTTAAATATAAACTGTCCTCTTAGATATTGAGCTTTTTAACATTTATTGTGTTTTACTAATCTAGGAGAAATGTTAATATATATTGCTAGTCCATGTATGACATGTCATATGGTAAATAAATATTATTTTATTTTTTTCTTCTATTCAATTGTGTCCAATTCTTAGAGCCTGCATGGACAAGTTCCTGTAGGTTTTTTTGGCAAAGTTTTTCAGAAATGGTTTGGTAGGGCTGAGAATGAGTAACAAGCCCAAGGTCAACCAGTTGGCTTTGTTCCTAAGGCCAGACTAGAATTCAGAGTCTGCTAATTTCTAGCCTGGCATCTTAACCATTATACCAAACTGTCTCTGATATATCATAGTATGTATGTTCCAATATGGTGCAGAATGCATACATATAAAAACACAACAAAGTAAATGTGACATGACAGAATCTCAAATTATGAACCAGTTTAGCAGGAAAATGTATATTTCATTTGGATTGAGTGGAAAAATGTAATTTTGGATCTAAGATAGGAAAAAAAATGATTCTTCAAGGATACCTAGAATAGTTACCTACTTCTAATCCATCACTTTATAACCCTGTTGGAAATTTAGCCTTCTTTATAGGTACATCTGCATTAGACTAGTGAAATCTACTTATTATGCAGATTTTGGGGCACTTTGATCAGAATAAAAAAAGTTTAATCTACTTTTCTTTGTTGGGTACCGTATACAGTGATACCTTGGTAATCATCATTAACTGGTTCCAGCAGGTGCGATGAATACCAAAAATGAATACCAAATAAAATTTTCCCATAAGAAATAATGTAGTAAATCACAAGGCAGCCGACATCAACAAGTTCTAGCTTGTGCGTTGAATAACAAACAAGTGATGAGTACCGGAACAAAGTTTTCCCATCAAAATGTGTTGAGAAACAAATTTGATGAGTATCTGTCAAGGTAATGATTTAGAAGCTAACCAGCTGATGTAATGTAAGATGTAGTGATGGGAATGACTCAGCAGGGTCTGCATCCCTTTAAGAGCCAGCTGGATCTATGTATCTTTAAGAGCCTTTGTATAAAAGGGAAGGCTCTGCAGATGTGTGCTCTCTCTTTTGTTTTCCTGCTGTAACTGCTGTGTGTTGGAGCCTGCTATATTAACACATGTATGTACATTGTTCCTAATGTATGATATTGTAGATAGTGTAAGATAAACCACCATTTAATATAGACCACTGTTTACTGTGTTTGCTCCTGGGTTATCTCAGCGCAATAAGACTGTGCATGCTCTGACAGTTTCAAACCAACTGAGTACCAAGGTATCACTATATTAGGAGATGTGTGCGGGGGAGGGAAGGAGAGGGTTTAATATTAAAGATGCTTCCATGTAGTGAGCTCTTCGTATTATGAATGGAAATAAAAGTCTGTCTATTGTTGTTGTTTTTTTACTCCTTAATGTAACAGAATCTGTGTAGGAGAAAAAAAACAGAAACAGTAGAGGATTACGAATGAAAAATGAGATTTCACAAGAAAAACCTTCTCTGGCTGTGCTCCTAAAATAATTAATATCATTTTAATTAATTTGTTACAGGAACAGGATGTTTTTATTTCTTTTCATCTCATAGTGAGTTTTAAACCACTTGACAGTCATGGTTTTCCAAGGAAAACCGTAATACTCTATTTGAAGAATATGATCCACCACCCACATCATTAAGCAACAGAAATGGCTTTACTTACCCATGTAGGGCTTAGTTCCAGCAAGAGCAGTTGCTCTTTCACCATCTCTGATGATTGTTGCAATATTAAAATCAGTTAGGTGGGCATGGCCTTAAATAGAACACAACATGACATTTAGGTAGAAACACCCTGTAGCTCTAATTTATTCTGAAAAATATGATTTCAGATCATAATACAATTAAGATAACATAAGGAATCTTATGAATTCACGTAAAAATTAAATCTATCCTAATCAATGTGAACCAGGGGGCATCCGAATCATTGGAGAACAGTTATTATTTTTATTATTATTATTTTTAAGTATAAAGCAATATATCTTATTTGATACAATTTTTAAAATATCATAATCTTTTTTTAATTTACTTTTATTGCTTTTAAAATTATTGCAAAAAAAACAAAAAACCCACAAAGATAAAAAATACATCCATTGTCAAAGAAAACAGGGAAAAACACATGATTTTTTTTAAAAAAGCAAACAAATGCAACAAACAAAAATGATATTATATCGATCTGGTTGTAAAAAGTTACAATTCTGTATACAGTTATCTAATACAATTATTCAAATACATATATTTCTAATACATTTATACAACTGGTTTAACTATATCATGTTTTTTTAACCTACTGTATTTTGTATAAATGAGTCCCGTATTTCAATATATTTGTTCATACATAGTCTAATTTAGGGGTCCCCAACCTATGGACTGCAGAAATAGCTGGCTGGTGCATGCACACATGCGTGTGCACTCCCCCCACTCACACTAGCACCCACTGCCCCATTTGCATAAGCGCCGGATGGATTTGTGCAGCCTGTTTGTGCATGCATGAATGGGGTGGCTAGCCCCAGATGAGTGTACGCGGCCCATTTGTGCATGCATGAATGGGGCCACTAGTGCTGTGCCAGCATGTGCGGCGCCGTTTGCATGCACACCAATTTGGAACCTGCTCTCCTTTCCTCCGGGCCATGACAAGGTAACAAGTGTAATCAGGTTTTCAATCCACTGAATGAAATATCATATTCTAAACCATAGATGGTTTTTTAGAAAGCACCCAATCAACTTTTTACATTTGCTTAAATGATCTGAGGTTTAACTATCATCAGGAAAACTAATATATCAATAAAACAACCTATTTATCTCTCTCTTGATGGAGAAGCCACTTGCAATTTCAGTTAAGAGTTCTGCATTACTGACTTCCGGTTCTGGATTGTGGCGCCTCTAGCCATACGAAGAGACTCGTCTCCTCGTCGACTAGCTTCCCTCCACCGGTAGACCCTTATGCGAGTCGAAAGTTGCCCTGGAGGGTGCGACTTCCATCAAAGAGGCTTCACTCGGCTGCGGAGGAGCGGCGGCTCCTCCAGCTGTCCGAGCCATCTCTGAGGGCCGACGGAGAAGATCGGCCAGTAAATTGGCCGATCACCTAGCTGCTCCAAACCACAAGTCAAAGAACATCTAAGCTTTAAGAACCATCGTGGTGAATCCGGGTGAGACTTTTCCTTGCTACTCTCTCTACTCTCTCTTGTTTTTTTGTGCCTGTAAGACCCTTGTTGGAATTATTTCCCTGGCTTGAAAAAGCAGCTTCTATATGTTTGGGAAGAAAGGCGTTATACAAAAATAGAACAAAATTTTAAAGACTATATTTTATTTCCATATTCTTTGGGGTGCAGAAAAAAAAAATTCTTTCTTTCTAAGAGCTGTACTATCATTTATGCTGGAAGATTATTTCTTTTTTCACATTATACTTTAAAAGACAGAAAAAAAGGAAATAGTGTCTAGAAAAGATTTTTTAACCTACTGAGGACATCTAGTGGCAAAAACTTAATACTGCAACCTCTGGTCACTCTTTGAAGAGGAATAGACCTGACCTTCAAATTATTTTTGAAGAGAAAAGATAAGCTGTGCAGCTGTAGGAACTGTGGGGGTAGATACTGCCTAACTTTTATTAAATATAGCCTCCACAAAAAAGAAAAAAGAGACTCTTTTTAATTACTATCAAAATGGAGAAACCTCACCCTTGTTGTTTGGGACAAAGCAAGACGCCGCTCCCACCTCCGTGCTTAAAGAGAACTGGTGAGTTATTTAAAAAGTGGACAGAGCTGATTAGAGGATTTTATTTCTTGATTTTAAGTTTGGATTTTAAGTTTAAAGAGTTACTTTCATTTTTTCTTTTTTCCTTTGTTGAGAGGGAAAGTAAAATGGCGATTTGAAGTTTTTTTTTTTTAAGGAGACGGAACGGATTTTGTCTATTTAATTATTTCTTTTCCTTTTCCATTTTTTTTCTTATTACAATGATTTTTTTTGAAGGAGGATTTGGGTTTTTGGAGTTAACCTCCCTCTCTTTTGTTTAATTCTTTTTTTTCCTTTTTTTTTTCTTTTTTTTAAGAAGGAGGAAAGAAGAAACAAATTTTTTTCTTTTAAGATGGCTTCAACGCGCCAAGTAATTTCCACAGTTCCTAAAGTGGCTTCTCCTTCGGCGATATTACCAGCGCAACAACCTAAATCAACATTATTATCTTCTCCTCTTGCACAGTCATTAACGGTAAAAGATTTGCAAGATGTAATGGGAAATGTTATATCTCAAATTAGGGGAGAAGTGAAAGAGATCTTAGTGGAGAATAACAGGATCTTGAGGCAAGATATAGTTTTGGCTTTAAAAGGACTTGCTTCTGTTGTTGAAAAGTTGGATTTTCGTGTTGAAGAAGTTGCAGATAAAGTGGAGGTGTTGGAGGAAAACTTTGAAGGCATGGAAAAAAAAGATGGAAAATTCACAAGATGAGATTCTTATGTTTCAATATAGAGAGATGGAACTCGCTTTAAGAATCAGAGGCTTGAGAGAAAATTTGCAAGGAGATCTGAGAGAGATGGTTGCAAATGACTTTGCTGTGATTTTGGATAGAGAAAAAGAGGAAATATTCATAGAAATTGAAAAAATATTTAGAGTCAACTCTTGGGTTGCAAAGCAAAGAAATTTGCCAAGGGATGTGGTAATTTACTTTGGGAAAAGATCCCTGCGCAATGAAATTATACAAGCTTTTTACAATAAGAGGTTTCAGATTGCTGCACAAGATGTTATAATTTTAAAGGAGATTCCATCTAAAATTTTAAGAAGAAGAAAGGAGTTTGCTTTTTTAGCAGATGAACTTAAAAAGAGGCAGATGCCGTTTAGATGGGATATTCCGATTGGAATAGTGGTGAGCTATGCGGGGATACGTCATAGACTTAATACTGTTTTTAAAGCAAGGGAGTTTTATACTTCGGTCCTGGGAGCACGCTCATCACCACCTATAATGTTTAAAGTTCCGGAAGAGAAGAAGGTAGAACAGCAGTCTGAAGAAGCTGTATTGATGAAAGTTGGAAAACTACAGACTGAGGGGTCTCAACAAGTCGAGATGAAGGAGCAGAGAATGACTCAGGCAGCATACAAACGCAAGGAAAAGGAACAACAGGAAAAGGAGGTTAAAGAAGTATTACAAGAATTTGTTTCTGAGTCTGTGGGAGAAGCAAGACCTAAGAGTTCTTTGATGCAATTTTCAATGGCAGATCTTCAAGCAGCTTTCTCGAGGTTATTGGATAAGAGAGATGGGTAAAGAATGTAAAGATTGTTCCAAGGTTATTGACAGATTATAGCCCATTGCAGATGGAACTGGTTATTGGAAAAGAGGAGAGAAGATTATGGAGACTGAATGAAAACTTTAGATAAGAAGTGTATGCTTAGAAATTTAAGGAGTATTTAAAGGAATATTTTGTTTTAAATATGTATAAGGGAATTTCAATGGTATAAGTAACGCTAATATGTGTGTTGATTGTGATGACAAAGAAAGATGGATAAACTTTATATAATACAAGTATGATATTAGAAAATATTGTTTAGCTTTCTGAATAATTTATATTTAAATTTATACTTAAAGTTTATAATATTTTAATGGCGGACTAGATTCCAATTAATTTACTTTATATGAAATATGATATTTTGTAATGTTATTAAGTTAGGGAGATGATTGGTTTATTAATTGTGAAAGAAACAGAAGTTGTGAATTATAGATAAAATAAAATAATGGTAAATTGGTAGGATTGTAATGACAAAGAAATTATTTTAATGTTAAATTTAATTATACTGGTATGGTTGTTAATAGGATAGTATTGGAAGAAGGGTTTTTTTTCTCTTTTCTTTCTTCTTTTTCTCTTTCTGTTTTTCATACATAATGGAGTTAAAGTACTTAATAATTCGTTTATTGAACGTAATTATATTTGTTTGAGGTTTATTTGAGTTTAAAAGTTTTTCCTTTTAAGTTCTAGTTAGCCCTGTATTCAGCTCTGGGAAGAGGGGGGAGGGTTTTGGGGAGGGTTGGGAGGGATTGGGGAAGGGGTTTTTTATTGTAAAATTGTAAAAATTTATAATAAAAAAATGGAGAAACCTCAGTTACAATTAAACTGTAAACTTATATTGGAAAAGATTTATGAGGCTAATGCAGAAATATGTGCTACAATGAAAGAGTTTACTACAGAATTAAGATCCATAAATCTCACTTCAAACCTTTAAACTGATGTCCAGACTACATCTGACTATTCTATAAATCAAAACATACTAGAAGAGGAATCAACAGAGATAAAAGAGGAACTTATTCTATCTTATAAACTTTCCATCTATTACTTTGAGGAATAGAAGAAGCAAAGATTGAGATTTGAAACTACAAAGCAACAATGCTTTAAGGATGAGAGAAATAGATGCCTAATGCAGAGGATGGGATTCCTATCCTTTCAAAGGCCATTGCAAGCAACAAAAAGAGATCTACTGACTGAAAGGGAAGCTTGGTTATTGAAACCTGCTTGGCACAGAAAAAAAGCCAGAATAAGACTGAAAAGAGAAATTTAAAATTGTGTAATGGATTAAAAGGCAATGTTGGATTTATGTACTGTTTTAAGGATTAAGATTTAGAGTTAGAAGTAAGAAAAAAATAGGAGGGTGATTATTAGAATAGATATTTTAAATAGATTAAGAATGTACCTTTTGGAATAATAGGTTTATTTTGATGAAAATTATTATGCATTAGAATTGAAAAAATGTTGGCTTTTTAGATTTGGATGGTTTCAATAATTAACTGAGTGTTTTAAATTAGTAAGATGATCTTTCTGTATGATAACATAGATGTGATGAGGCATAATAATCAATTGGATGAAATTTGAATTTTGTTTAATGAACTGAAATGATTTAAGGTTTAACATTATTTTGTTATCTTAAAGAGATTGATCGATTGTGGGATTATATATATATAGGGTATATTAATATTTTATTTTAATTAGGATATCTATTGTGTAGTGGAAGAAGAAATAAATGAGATTTGTGATAAAATGAGGGATGTGAGAGACTAAGAATTAGAATATATCTGGAAGGGATACCTGAATTGATAACTTGTTGATTTAAAGTTAAATTTGATTATGGTTGTAAACTTACAAAGTTTTAAAACAGGTTTAGCAGTTATAGAAATTTAAATTAGAAATGGAATATTTTAAATGTATTATGCTATTTGAAGGAAATAGAGAGGGGACAGTGAATGTATTGAGTCAAGTTGTTTATATATGTTTTTACTTTTGAATGTTTGATTACCCAAACACCATGGTGTGTCCCGAGTACTTTTTCTTAAGAATTAAAAAATCAATAAAATGTGTTTTAAAAAAAAAGAGTTCTGCATTACTTACGCGCATCATTTTTAGAATAATCGTGATCCTAAAGAAAGTGCCATTGTAAAATGCAATTGTATAAATATTTAATTTTTTATAATGAATTAACATCTCAGTTTAGATTTTAATTACTTACACTTTTTAAAAAATGCACTTGTAGGTCAGCAAGCTCTTTCACACATATCACATATCATTTTTTTCCTTTTTGATTATGAAAGGGCAAACTAGCGGTATCTTACCTGTTACTCAGAATAGAAAAAAATGTTGCATGATAGGAAAAATCAGAACTCATTTGAAAGTCTTTCTGATCGATGGACTAATGGGTAAACTGTGACACTTTAAATATAACTTGGATTACACATGAATACATAAAAGCTGTTCCAGTCAACTAGCATTTCGCTTTCCTGTTGTGTGAAAAGCTATTTGATAAGCTTTTTAAAGGATTCATTGGGGAATATGCTATTGTCAGGGTTGGAACAAAGCTGAATGCATCAGGGGATGCATAAAGAAATCTTCTGGCAATTGATTGCAAACCATTAAAATTCCACCTTGTGGATATCGCAATGCACTCTACATGCAACTGTCCTTGAAAAGTATCTGGAAGCTTCAATTGATTTTAAAATGCGGTAGCCCCCATGGTTTTGTGCAAGGCTAGATTTGCACGTGTCACCTCTCTTGCAGGAGCTGCATTGGTTGCTAATTTGCTTCCAAGTCCAATTCAAAGTGCTGACTGTCATTTTCAAAGCCATACATGGCTTGGGACCATGTTGTTTGAAGGACTAACTCTTCCCAGGCAGAGAATAGTATGGGTTCCTTTTAACACTAGCAATAGCACTTCATATACTATATACTGCTTCACAGTGCTTTACAACCCTCTCTAAGCAGTTTAGAGTCAGCATATTGTCCCCAACAATCTGAGTCCTCATTTTACTGAACTCAGAAGGATGGAAGACTTGAGTCAACCTTGAGCTGGTCAGCATTGAACTCCTGGCAGTGAGCACTGAGTTAGCCTGCAATACTATATTCTAACCACTGCACCACCATGACTCATGGAGATCCATCTAGTGCAGGGGTGTCAAACTGCTGGCCTGTGGGCCTGATATGTCATGACACATCATGTGATGTTGTGAGTTTGACACCCCTAATCTAATGGGACCTAGAAAAAGGCGTCTCTCTGTAGTGGCTCCCTCCCTGTGGAACATACTCTCTGCAGACTGGCCCCCACTTTTGCAAGTCCCTGAAGACATGATCTGCCAATGGGCCTGCAGACCCTAGAATGATATGAAGCCCATCAAGTGGATAGTTTGACTGTTGTTACTACGGGGTTGGGAAGCTATTGGTTTTTATACTTGGGCTTTATCTTTGTAAGCCACTCAGAGTCACCCAAAGTGATAATAATAAATAATATTTAATTATTATTAATATCTTCCTTTCAAAAGCTTCCTCTGACATGAAACAGGCCTCTCTTGTTGAGTTATTAAGGAAGTGTTTCATTACAGAGAAAATGAAGATCACCATGGACATCCCTACCATGGATATCAATCCTTCATATACCAACATAGAACTGCAGGACCAACCAATAGCACAGGAGGGTCTTCAAACTTGGCCCTTTTATGACTTGTGGACTTCAACTCCCAGAATTCCTCAGCCAGGCACGCTGGCTGAGGAATTCTGGGAGTTGAAGTCCACAAGTCATAAAAGGGCCAGGTTTGAAGACCTCTGATCTAAACTGATATCATATGAATGACTACTAGGTGGCAGGAAGAATCAAAGGTTTCTATATCTCAGAGCTGTCTCTAATGGTGTCTTGGATTTTTGCAGTTTAGCTGTGAGGCAGTTGAACCTTCTCCAATTGCCCAGGCACATTATATGACGCATGAATGAACAGTGCTGCATCTGAGGTAGAGAGAGGTCTGCTTTGGTTTGGCTGTAATCTGCACTCCAGGACAAGAGAGCAATGTATTTAAGTATTTTTAAAGGATTTTAAAAAACAACACATCAACTCTGATTTAAATATATGACCTTACTAGGGGAAGTCTGTTTCAAACTATACTATTCTAGAGCTGATTGATATTAGCTTGGGTGTATTAAGAACCACATCTCGCTTATACTACAATTAGGTATGCTACATCATCTCCCCTAAGCTGCCTGAAGCAGATCAGCAACTGCTAATGCTTTCATGCCAAGATAAAAATGCTATTCTGAAATCAATCTGTCTCTTTTTTTTATTTCTCCTGCATGTGGATTTCTAGCATTTGGGATTCATGCGCCAAGGCTAGATGGAACAAACAGGCAGATTAAGTCATGATGCCCATTGCCTAGTTTATTTCTATAAACACTGTAGATATGGCTGCTTAAAGATTCAGGGGCTGCTTTGCAAGACAGCCATGGTAGGTCTAGTTTCTCAATACTCTTGCTTGCTCATCTCTTCCTTTGGAGATGTATCCCCACTGCCAATCAAAGGGAAACAGCAGATATGTGGAGACAACAATTCCTTCCTTTTATACCTTTACTTTGCTGCTTGCTTACTGCTTTTTAACCTCAAAATAGAAGGGCATGCACCTTAACAGGTGTCTGAAGCTGCTAGCTCTTGAGATCTATCTTTGGCAGAATGTCACCACAGGCATATTGGAGACATCGCATCTAGATACCTGGCCTGGCCTGCAGCAAACAGCAGTTGTTTTGTTATGGAAGTACGCAGGAAGCATTTAAATAAATATGCAACTCCACGTCTCCAGAGGGAGGAAAGAAAGAACACAGTTTGTCAGGCTGCACTTTTCGACTTTCCATAACTAGTTTTCAGTGATGAGGTTGTAAAGACTGATGATACCCATGCAATTCCACAGAGGGAAGAGACATATTTCTATTGCTTGAAGTAAATGAGGAAACCATGGCTCCTGTGCGTTTCATCTCTGCATCACTGGAAGTGCCAGACCACAAGCCAGAAAATGAATTCAATGAGTCATTGTCTATGCTAATCCAACAGCAAGTCTCCCCAGAATGTCGGAATATAAATTTTTCTGTAGTCTGGTTTGGAGATGCCAGTACCAGAGCTGTGCTCTTTTCACTCTAAAGCAATGCTTCTCAACCTCGAGAACTTTTAAGATGTGTGGACTCCAACTCCCAGAATTCCCCAGCCAGCATGGAATTATGAGAGTTGAGGTACACCCATCTTAAAGTTCCCATGGTTGAGAAACACTGCTCTAAAGCATGTGACATATTTGTGAGCTATAATCCTTCCTGTATCTGAAGCAGACTTTTGGTATCTTTCTTCAAACCCAACTTTTGTCTTGATTCTGCCATCCTAGGCATGCAAACATAGTAAAAGGTATCTATATTAGTAAAAGATAATAAAAAACCTAAAAATATTGGACCTGCAGCCTGCAAGTAGTATCCTGCTACAATTTTTATGGCCCACAGGATGACTGGGAGCTCTGCCTGCATTTCCTTGCAGTGCAGCTGATCAGCCTGGTAGGGAATAGATTATTGATTTCAACATACTGGAAATAAGAAATAATCATTTTTGAGAAAAGACTTAGGAAGGTAGAGAGCAGCCTCACTGCTTCAATGATCTGTATTCTGATTGCTAGACTTCATAAATCATAACAGTAAGTGTCTGTGTGTGTGTGTGTGTGTGTGTGAGAGAGAGAGAGAGAGAGAGAGAGAGAGAGGGAGGGAGGGAGGGAGAGAGAGGGAGAGAGGGAGAGAGGGGGATACTTTAAGGCTTCTAGTTGTTTTTGCATAAAGTTGTTCTGGCCAGAATTGTTCTACAACAAATTATAGTAGCTACTAATAATGTGTCTTTTCCATCAGTTATTTCTTCATTTGTTTTGTTCAACATATAAGCTGCTCAACCATCAAAGCAAATCTTCATTATATAGAAGTTATTAAAGCAATAAAACAAGAACCCAGTAATCAAAACAAAAATGTAATACGCAATACTATATCAGGCAAGAAAACACCATAAATAATAAGGAATAATATTCTAATATAAATTGAGGGGTCACAAATGGCTGTGCCCCAGAGCTTGCTGAGAAAGCCATGAACCAATCAACTCATTTCAAATCCTGTAAGCTTGTGCATCTGTCACTTCTGAAGAAATTGAAGCAGAATATCACAATTCTGCAATAAATGCACATGATACAAAGCACCAAAAAACATCCCCACATCACCCATTTCCAGACTGTTCAAACACCAAAACAGCAGAAATAAAAGCCATGTGATTTGTCCTTACCTTGTTCATCAAGGAGAATGTTGTCTGGTTTCACATCTCTGGAAATCAAAATAAATATATATATATATATATATAAAACTTAACCTTGACAGGAAAAAAGGCAACTTACTTATATTTCTTTCTCCACATCAAGCAAATTGTCCTAAGAAGCCATTAAACATATTGAGTTTTTGTTATTGTTTCCAAGATTGTAAAAACATTATCTATTATCAGCTACACAAAAACAGAGGTACGAGATATCCACGATCTTCTCAAAGAAATTTCATTTGAATGTAATGTATAGAAATTTCTCAGAAACCGAAGACATGTCATGGTTTGAATAAAATTCTTGCCAGTTGAAGTTGTCTTATGATGAAGATCTTTCCATCTTCAAACAGTATTAAATAGCAGCTGCCATGGGTCTCTAGGCGAGAGTCAAACTGGATTGCATTGCAGAATAGGCAAGTGTAATTTTTCCATTGGCATCTCTCTGGGAATGCATTTGTCCACATGAGGATCTGTTTTATTGTGGTTAAAATATGGGACTAAAGGTCAGGAACATCTAGTTCCAAACTTCATTCAGTATGAAATTCACTGGACGATTCTGAGCTAGTAATTCAAAGGTAGATACAATGGGGCAAAAAAGTATTTAGTCAGCCACCAATTGTGCAAGTTCTCCCACTTAAAAAGATGAGAGAGGCCTGTAATTGTCATCATAGGTAGACCTCAACTATGAGAGACAAAATGAGAAAACAAATCCAGACAATCACATTGTCTGATTTGGAAAGAATTTATTTGCAAATTATGGTGGAAAATAAGTATTTGGTCAATATCAAAAGTTCATCTCAATACTTTGTTATATATCCTTTGTTGGCAATGACAGGTCAAACGTTTTCTGTAAGTCTTCACAAGGTTGGCACACACTGTTGCTGGTATGCTGGCCCATTCCTCCATGCAGATCTCCTCTAGAGCAGTGATGTTTTGGGGCTGTCGCTGGGCAACACGGACTTTCAACTCCCTCCAAAGGTTTTCTATGGGGTTGAGATCTGGAGACTGGATAGGCCACTCCAGGACCTTGAAATGCTTCTTACAAAGCCACTCCTTTGTTGCCCGGGCGGTATAAGCATATAGGGGAGGAGTGAAACCAGCTATATGGTAGATAAAAAGGAAATTACTCTTCCAAAGTACCATGGTTCTAATCTCAATCCATAACCTATGTGCCTCCTAGGAGGAAGAGGAGGGGGGGAGGAGGAGGAGGAGGAGGTGGTGCTGGTGGTGGTGGTTAATGATCTGGAAATGAGATTTCATTAGTTTAATGTTCCCCCATCTGATGTTCTCTAGATATGTTGGGATTTCAGTTCCTAGAATTTCCAGAAGAATTGGATGAAAACTGAGGAACCCATATAAAAAGCACCAGATGGGTAAAAGCTAAATAGACTCTTTTGGCACTGAAACAATCTTGACTCATGGTAAAAGAGTTTTTCCAGACTTTTGACAGAAATAAAAAACAAAGCAAAACAAAACTGAGAAAGATTTTGATATAGCAGCCACTGATCTCAATTATAATCCTATGGAAAGAAATTAACTACACAGAAGGGCATCGAAGAGCGAAATGACATGATCATGAAGTTGCCTGCATGTTCAAATTTCTATGTAACTAGAATATAGATCAAGATTATAGGATTAGAAAATTAGGTTGTGATTATGTCCTACAATCATTCCATTTCATGGTAGGACTAGAGATTAAGTACCGTACTTACTGAAGAAAATTTACTCCAACTATAAAATCAGTTTCAGAGTTGAGATTCTATACAGTTGTTTCCCAATGGGCTAGAATGAGATGAGTTCATAGAATTAGACCTGATCTTCACAACTGCCAACAACAGATTGTTAGGTCACCTGTGTATAATACGCTGACTGCGCAAATAGTCCAAAGCTGATGCCATTTCACAGATATATAGTTTAACTGTTTCTTCTGTAAACTGCACGTTCTGTTGAAGATGATAACGTAAGTCACCACCCAAGAGTAGATCCACCACCATGAACATGTCTTCTTCATCTTGGAAGGAGTACCTATAGAAAAAAGGGAGAACAAGGAATTCCATTATATTTGCACAGACAATATTACGCCTTATGATAGTTCTCCTTGTCACATAATGACCTGGAAATGAGATATCCTTAGTATTATATTCCCCAACCCAGTGCCCTCTGGATACATTAGGACTTCAGTTCTTAGAATTTCCAGAAGAATTGGTTGGAATGTGCTTGAATAATAACAATGCTTCTACGTATCTAAATATATGTCCTTCAATTTCTTTCATTTGTCCCAGTTTCTCTGAACCACTGATATTTATATATTTGGGGGTGTCATTTTGTTTTAATCCTTATTACTGCTAGCTGTCCCCTATTCTGTATCTAGTAGGGAGCAGCTGTCATAGTTAATTTTAACTTGTTCATGTTATCCTGTTTCTATATCTGGCTGGATCACATGGCTTCTATAATATGATCATTACACAGTAATTTTTTCCAGGCATAATCAATAATGTACTGGAATACCAAGCAGCCTGTCTCATTTCATTATCAAAGGATAACCAGTGCCATCAGTGTGAATGACTCATTGGCAAGATTTTGTTAGTCTGAGCTGCCTAGAATCTTTTTAATACAGAAAATCTGGGAAGTCATTAGCTGGACATTTTTGTTCTATCTGCCAAAACTGAGTGGAAAAAGTTGTAAAAGGGGTGATCAAATAGGTCAGAGAATTATTTTCTTCTAAGACTATCTAGAGATTCAATTAGCTTAGAAACACGAGTTAGAAAATCGATTTTGCTTTATCGCCCCCAATAAATTGAGTGTACTTTACCTGAGTTTTTGTAAAAAGCAAATAACATGTTATTCCTTTATATGTCTACGTTTGTAATAGGGTTCAGAAATGCAGCCATGATCCTTCCAGATGGTGTCCAATCCAATCCCCCCTCCCAAATTAAATTTAGAAACACCAAAAAATCCCTAACAAAACTTCCAGAAGAAGCACTCATAAGAATTTAGATGAGTATAAGATTTCAGGGATGAAAATACTGAAAACTTACCAAAAACGTTAATAAGATTTGGTGCATATTTATTTTATTTTATTATTTATTTTATTTTATTCTTTGTTAAATGCCATTACATAAGATGACTCAGTAGTGCCTATCTCTTGGAGGAAAAAATGCCAAGGTCTGAATTATCCATTCAGAATGCTACAGGAAGAATGTGTTATTTACATTTCAAAGTGTTGTAGATAAAAACAAGACAAGACAACCCAAAGGATAAAGAGGCTTGAGCAATTCCCCTGTGAGACACATTGCTATTCAGTGCTTTCTCATCTTAAGAGTAAAGAGGGGACCCAAAGATACACATTATTAGTATAGATAAACATCTGTGAGTGGCTACATAAAAATTATTCCTTCACATAATACCAAAACCTTGGGGGGGGGGAGGAGAGGAAGTCTTTACACATTTAATTTCCAGAATTTATTATCACATAAAGCAGTGGTTCTCAACCTGTGGGTCGGGACCCCATTTGGGATCGAACGACCATTTCACGGGGGTCACCAAACAATGCAGTCTGCCATTTTTCCCCCTTTTTCCTTAGCTGTGCTACTCCCTTTTATTCTATTGGCTTTTGAAAGCCAATAGGATAGACTCTCTTGAATAGAGTCTAATTCTACTGGCTTTCAAAAGCCAATAGGAATTGTCCAGGCTGTCTCTGCCCTGTTGAGCCCGCCAAAAGTCCCATTCTGCAAACGGTGCTGCACCAGTTGAGTAGTCCTTGACTTACGACCAGTTGAGTAGTCTTCGACTTACGACCGGTTGGGGTTCGCGGCATTAAAAAGGTTGAGAACCACTGACATAAAGTGATAGTCCCCAATCTGAACAACTTTGAAAGGAAGTCACACAACTGCATAAGAAATAAAGCTATCAATACAGTACTTAGTACTTAGCATAGGTATGTCTTATTGCCAAGACTAGATCTTGCACAGTTCAATAGCAAATTGCTGTAGAAAATGAAACAAAGGAAACTACTGGACCCCTGTTCAGTTTGTGGTTCCTGGTTGGACACTTAGAAACAGAATGTTAAATTAGACCTTTAACTTTGATCCAGCATATTTTTTTTCTTACATTCTTAAAACCAGAGGTATGCCTTTTATATTTATTATTATGCTAAACTTTCTCCTATAGAATCAAAGCTGGAGACTTCTCCCCACCCTGCCTCTTTATTGTGACACAGTAGTTAGGGTAATAAGGGACATTCAGCCATGAAAGCTCATTCAGTGACTTTGAGTCAATCACCCCACATATTTGTTATGGAGGGGAGGGTGGTGGAGAGAAGAGTGCTATGTTTTCAGTCTTGAGACAGGGAGGATCTCACTGAAGTTTCAATTGAGTTTCTTATACACCAGTCTGCATGCGTCTTTTCAGTAGAGAGGTACTTTTTATACTAATGGACTGGGAGGCCTATCCCCCAAATTACAACCTTGCTGATGTCAGTTCAGGAATTTTTTTTCTGCAGCCCTGTTCCTCACATGAGCTAGTTGTTGGTTTGAAAACTATTAAGAGTGAGAGTAGAAAGAGAACTGCTATACTGTATGCTGTAGCAAACTAATTCAATATAGCTCATTTTTTAAAGACTAGTAATAACTTTAAATGAAAAAAGGAAATATGCCAAACCAAGATAAATTGTCCTAAAATTATGGTAACCAACTTTCCTATAAAATCTTTCCCTAAACCAATAAGACACAGATTATCTCAGAATCCCATTGTCCAATTGTATCAAATAAAAAAATCCAGTATTTCTACTATTTAATGTTTAATCTATGTTACATTTCATTACATTCTTCATTTATTCCATTTCTCCTTTGGACATTATACTATTCCAATTGGTTTCTTTTTCCTCAACAGCTTTCTCCAAACTTGTGCCTTCAAAGTGTCTAAAATTTCAGTTCTAATAATTCCTGAACCAACACGGGCAACCAGGCAACCAGCCAGCCAAACTAATCTAATAATTATCTAATTCTATAATTGTAGCTATATATTAAGAAACTATGTTTTATTACAGGAACTCTTATCATGAGCCAGCTGTTGCATAACTGGACTCTCCATTTCTACAGATATTCTGAATCTGTAGTCTATTAAGATGCTGGATTTCTATAATGCTAAGCTTTGGTTGCTGTAGACTGTGGACTCTACCATTTTCTTTTATGTATAATGGAATTTTGAAAATCATACTCTATGCACTGTTGTACCCAAGACTCTTTTCTGAAAAGACTAACATGCTTTCAACTAGATGCGTACATTTGGAAAATCAGTGGAACACACATTCTTTAAAATATGAGAAAAAAGAAATTCACCAAAGATTCACCAAGAAGACATGCTCAATTTCCTGTAGAATCTCTAGTTCTCTGAACACGTTCCGAACCTCATCTCTTTCAATGCACTGTTGTTTATTCATGTACTTCATGGCATACATCTTCTCTGTATCTCTTTTTTGTACAATGCACACCTAGATGTAACAAAAGAACAAAAAAGTTGAATTAATGTGTGTCTTTGTACTTCATTTATCTATTGTAATCATCCAGCAACAGTGAGATATTGTGATGAGCACCCAGGAAATCATTTAGCAAACCATGTTATTTTCTGTACAAGTTCATTCAGAAAGTTATGAAGGAAAAGGCAAGTCTACCTTTTGAGAAAAAATGTTTTTTTAAAAAAAGTGTCAGCATCTGGTAATGTCATTTTAGCAAAATATCCAAAGACAATGCAATCAATCAAATGTGTTAAATTTCCTCTCTTATAATAACCAACCAGTATGTCTGAAGGTTATGCTGGCTGAGAAGAATATGAGATTTGACATCAAATGCCACCATGCAGGAGAAAGCTTACCCAGGGACTCTTATGAGAATACATAGAAGGGTAGCTTGATTCTATTATAATCTTCAGCCTGTGATGAGAAGGTAGGCTTAAAACAACAGTTTTGTCAGAAAACAGTCTTTCCCAGACTCTTTATATTTCAGATGTACATCCTTCACCTCCCAAAATTTCCTAGCCAACAGAAAAATTGCTGAAAATCCTGGAACCTAAAATCCACAAACCTGGAGAAAGCCAAGGCTGGCATTAGATTCTTTCACTTTAAATTCATGTATTACTTGTTTATTGATTGTGTAATTCAGAGGTTGCCAACCTTTTGGGCACCAGGGACCAGTTAGGTAGAGAGAGGTTTTTCTGCGGACCGGAAGGTGTGTGGTTTTGTGTGCTGCCTGCATCCTGCAGATGGGGCTTTGCTTGTTTGTGCAGATCAGATGCTGGCATGCCACGGCCCGGTACTGGTCCACGGACCAGGGGTTGGGAACCCCCTGGTGTAATTGATTTACCTCCTCAATCCTTGCAGAATTCTAGGCAGCATGCAGATAACGAAAGTTTAAAAATTACTAATAACTGTAATCGTCATCATTATCAGTACAGTAGAATATGATGACTCCTGTTTTAGCAGCATCCCGACACTGAAAATGCCAAATATTGGTTGTCACATTTAGACTTTCCAATGTTATAAGAGCAGCAGATGAAACAATCATTTTCCATGCCAAAGGTAGTGTCCAAATTATACTTAGAAGAATACAATTTAGTGACAAGCAATGAAATAATTCAGTGCTAGCAACTGTGAAACTCTATGAGTCATCAAAATGAGGGTACAGCAAGAGCCAACAATCTCAGGAAAGATGGTATGAAACACTGTGACTTGGGAATTGCTCCTCCACCAAATGTACTGAATCCCATTGTGTTTCTGGGCTCAACTCAAAATCTGATCTGCCCTTTAATCCTTAATAATTTGGGACTGGAATATAGTAAGAGCTTCTTGTCTCTACATACAGTTGTTTATATTACAATTCCTCAAAGAAATGTATTTGGGTGTCCCTGTTGATGAGCTACAAAGAAAGGAGTTTTTTTTTTCTTGGTGATGGCACTTTTAATGTGAGGTGCCATCCCTCAACACAGGAATAGAGCATATTATTTTCTAAGCTTTAAAATCTTCTGTACATTTCAGTTGGCATATCATTTGCTTTTTTGCACTTTTAGATTGTGGCATTTTGGCATTCTTTTTCTGATAATGTTAACATTTTGTAACATATTTAATGTGAGAAGTGAATGAAACAAGCCAGGTGAGAATTTGCATGAAGGGTTTCTGATTTTCGGTGGGAAAGTTGCTCTTCTCACTTGATCCAGGATTTCCTACTCTGTTGAAAGCTGCAAGCATTGGCATGGCTAATAATAAGGAAGGATGCAGCAGTTACCCGTAATTCAGTATCTTCTGAACATCCACAGGTTCCACTCCCATATTATTATCCTGGCTTTTCAGTAAAACACCATAAATCATATGCTAATATATATGGATTTATTCTGCAAAAGAGGGATAATCTCCAGACAAGAACCGCATGATTGCATTATTGGATTTGTACATATGGTTAGTTGATTTTTGTTGCTTGTGATAGTACTCAGACTTATATACTTATATACCACCTCATAGTGCTTTACAGCCCTCTCTAAGCGGTTCACAGAGTCAGTATATTGCCCCACAACAATCTGGGTCCTCATTTTACCGACTTCAGGATGGAAAGCTGAATCAACCTTGAACTGGTCAGATTCAAACTCCTGGCAGTGAGCAGTGAGTTGGCCTGCAATACTGCATTATAACCACTGGGCACCATGGCTCTTGTACTGTAGGTGATACTACAGGTAGTATCTTAGCAACAGCAAATTGTGACTGGAATTATGATTCCATGATGGGGAATAATTTCCTTTATTATTTATTTATTTGCAATTTTCAGTCTACAGTAGACTATCTACATCTTTGTGGATAAAAGTCAGGTCAAATGCTGCACTGCTTATTCAAGTTCAGCTGTCAATTATGGGTGGTCGTTTGCTTGAGTAAACCAGTACTAGATAGCTTTATAACACTGCAATGATCAGTAATATCCAGTTATCTATAAGGCCCAATCTTGGGTTTTAAAGCATCTTGGATCTGGGATATCACTCATTCTAACTTGAATCTGCTTATCCAGTTCAGACAAGCAGAGAGAGCTTGCTGTAAGTCCACACCTGATGTCCTAGAAGAAGCCTTTTATACTATGGCTCCTTCTCTCTGAAACAGCTTGTCTTTTCAAGAAGGTAACTAACTTGCTGTTATTTCACACAGCTGTTCAGAAATACAGTTTATTGTCCTGCGGTGGAATCAGCTGGTGATTATATGGAAATTGCTGACATTTTGTTTTCACTATTGTTGTGTTTGATGACTTTTTTTTTAATAATGGAAGATGTGATTTGCTGTACTCTTCTCTCTATTTTCTTATTTACAATTTAGAGATAGAAGAGATTCTCCATTCTACAATTAAACAAAAGAATATATGAACCAGATATTCTGTGACCTCTACATCCATTTTCAGGGTGTAGAACAGGGATGTCAAACTGCCGGCACACGGGCCGGTTGCACCATATGGAGGCCGTGCCCACCCCAGCTCCGGCAATGCAAAAAAAGTTGCAATACGTCATGACACATCACATGACACGGCGAGTTTGACACCCAGGGTGTAGAATAATGGCAATAGCTCCAGCTCAGATATTCTTGGCAGGAAAGGCAACTTTCCTACTCCTCATTTTTCCTTTCATGTACATGTTATTTTTATATGCCATCTTTTTTTATAATAATAATAGTAGTAAAGTTGGAAGGGACCTTGGAGGTCATCTAGTCCAACCCCCTGTTCAGGCAGGAAACCCTACACCATTTCGGACAAATGGCTGTCCAGTCTCTTCTTAAAAACTTCCAGTGTTGGAGCATTTACTGCTTCTGGAGGCAGGCTGTTCTACTGATTAATTGTTCTCACTGTCAGGAAGTTTCTTCTTAGTACTAGATTGCTTCTCTCCTTGATTAGTTTCCACCCGTTGCTTCTTGTCCTTCCTTCAGGTGCTTTGGAAAATAGCTTGATTCCCTCTTCTTTATGGCAGCCCCTGAGATATTGGAATACTGCTATCATGTCCCCCCTTGTCCTTCTCTTCGTTAAACTAGACATACCCAATTCTAGCAACCGATAGACTTCAAAAAGACAGGCAAACTTCACTTCTCTGTTTTATCCTTAAAAGAGTATTTTTAAACACCAGGGGTCGGCAACTTGATGCCCTGGCCCTCAGCCACACAAAGTGCACGTCTTGGAGCTTTGATGCATGGACTAATGAGGAACAGACTTCCAATTATCTGCTTAGTTTAGCTCATCAGATGGCTTACAAGGAGAAAAACCCCTCTTCAATCTAAGAGAATAGAGGATGAGCATCACTGCCCAATATAACCAACTAAGTTTACAGCCAACTAATAATTTGGCAGTTAATACTTTGTCAATACTTTTATGCATCATGTATAGACCGATTTATATCGGTCAATACTGTAATCTGTAAAGAAGAGGATGAGATGTATTTAGACCATTGTTTCAGAAATGAAAATTGATTAATTTATATCATAGTGGAATGCCACAGAGCAGATTACCTGAACTTTCCTATATTATATTATAATAACTTTTGGAAATTTTGAGCTTCAACAATACAGTGTTATTGGTTATGTTTGCCAAAGCAGAATATCACTTAAGTCTAAAAGATTCCTGGCACACATTATCCAAGATATCAGACCAGCCCTACATAATTTTGTACACAGTTTCATAAAACAAAATATGAAGATGTAGTTGATCTATCAAGAAAATTATTGTATACTGACTTTTAAACATTTAGGATATAAAGAGGTACTATATACAGCCTTTATGACTGTATTGATAATATTTATCTGATAATGTTGGCAACTGGATAGCTGTTGGCAACAACTGCCAAATCTTGCTTTGTGATATACAGGTAGTCCTTGACTTACAATAATTCATTTAGTGACCATTCAAAGTTACAATAGCACTGGAAAAAGTGACTTATGACCGTTTTTTTACACTTACAACCATGGGCACGTGATCAAAATTCAGACACTTGGCAACTGACTCATATTTATGATGGTTGCAGTGTCCTGGGGTCATGTGATCACTTTTTGCAGTCTTCTGACAAGCAAAGTCAATCCGAAAGCCAGATTCACTTAACAATTGTGTTACTAAGTTAACAACTGCAGTGATTCACTTAACAACTGTGGCAAAAAAAATAGTAAAATGGGGCAAAACACTTAACAGGTGTATCACTTGGGCTCAATTGTGGTCGTAAGTTGAGGGCTACCTGTAGTTTAACAAGGACCACTGGGATTTATGCCCATAAGCCCTCAACTAACTTATAAACTCTCCCCAAAAGAAAGTTGATAAGCTGTCTGGGAAAGCCAAGGGAAATCATCAAAACAATTAAAAAACAAAAGTTAGAATATTTCAGGCACGTGATGCAACACCCAGATTGAGGGCAAACGAGGTCCAGGCAGAAGAACATCATGGCTTCAAAATCTAAGGGACTGATGGAGGAGGAGGAGGAGGAAGAGGAGGAGGA